TTCAAAAATTATAAAATAAACTCACGCAAATGCGGTTTAATCTAGTAATTTATAAACTAAAAAAAATAAAACTAATGAACAACTGAAGATACCTTCTCGTCTCAAGCGAGTTTGCCAATTGTGTCATAGTGAAGAGCTTGATCTTTTCTCTTTTTCATCGACCTTGTATGATGCATCAAAGCTTTCATCGTATAACCCACCAGGTATGAGTGGTTTGAGTGGTGACGATGGTAGATTAACCCCTCATACAGGAAAGATGATCAAGAAAGAAATTAAGGACAATCAAAATGAAAACAAAAAGTTTGGTGAATCAACATACATAAATTCAGTTAATCAACGACCTAATATAAATTCAAAATTACTCGTAAACAAAGGAAATCAACGACTTAATATCTCAAGTTAGCCAAATGAAGTCACATACAAAATGGATATAAAAAGTAAATACTTTCCTCAATATTTAAAGATCAAATAAACTATAAGTCAAATGAAAACTACGAAAAATTTAGAAGAACAAGATATATTCAGAGAACAAGATATAAAAACCGAGATGAAACTGAATGATAATCAAAATGTGAAAACTGATTTATATGAAAACATACCTATAGTAAATGCCTAACCGAATTTGAGATCTCTTTTTGGTGGAATAAAAAGCTCTCAAGAATTTTCAGGATCTAGAAGGCGCTTTAAAAATATTATGCGGCTGGTAGAAGAAAAGACAATGACTGAAGCTTATATAGAGGCTTGTTTAACCTAGTTAGTGAACAACGTCGTATGGAATATTTAAATTATAAATCTATAAAATTATGTAATATAGAATCAATTTAATCTAGACAGTGAACGACGTCGTATGGAATATTGAAATTGCGGATCCTTTAAAATATGGTGTCCTACAGTCTCCTTCTTCTTAATATAAGTAAAATATCAATTTAAATAAAAAAGGTATTTACAATAATTTATATCCTCTTGATTTGTCAAACTAGGTGTTCTCATCATAACCACAAATTTGAATGAAAGTTTGAGATAACAAACTCACTAACTTTATTTTTATTTATATAATGAGAAATAATTTGGCTTTGAATAGTGATCAAGCTGGTACGAGATTCGCAAATGCTAGTATTTGATTGTGAACTAACCGTCCTCGGTTATGTTGGACTAAAGTTACTCGGTGGAATCACAGACAGCAAGATCCAAAGGCATCAGGAGACTTGTATGATTTTGTTGTATTTTCCCGACATAAATAGTGACAGAAAAAATGGTAAGAGCTATGATTAGCTTTAATTGGTTATTAGAGATGAAACAACATAATGGTTTTTGAGCGTTTTTGCTGGTGTTGTTTAGCTCTTGAATGAAACTGAAGAAAAGATATACGAAACAGTTCATGTTCTTGAGACTGAAATAGATATTAGTGAGATATACCAATACGAAGGTCATTGTCCAGACACCAAATACTATCTTGTGTCAATGGTAAGTATCTAATTTGTTCAATTTGAAGACTATGTTACAACAAACAATTCCTTAACAAAAAAAAATGTTATCACAAACAACTCTAGTGTTTAATATTCATGTTTGTTTGCATGGAGACCAATACAGTTGTGTAGTTCTAGAAAACAGAACAAGGGTAAGATACTTTAGTAATGAGGAAGAGGTAAAGCTTTAGACCTTTCTTGTAATACAAGCAAGTTACTCAATCTGTGACTGAATATATGTTGCTTTTTCCAATTTATTGGAGACTGGGATAGTGTACTCATGTGGTAAGTGTTGTCCCAATTCACACCTTGATTTTCAGTCTGTGAAAAGGGAGGAGATTGTGAACAAGCAAAGGGATACAGAGAGTGATTTACACTATGAGTGACTTTTTGAGTTTGGTTTACAAAAAGAGGGACATTTTGAAAGAGGTGGACTTTTCTTTGGAAGGTAGTGAGTGAAGATTTCTGTTTTACCCTTAATGAGAAAGAAGGTAAAAAAAAATTGGAGCAGTTCATATCTATTTTGCCTGAAGAAGTTCATACCTTTTTGATTGCCACACTTCTTTATGTAATAACCATAAATTCCACACGTTTCTATAATCGCCAATATATATCCCAAGAAAAGCAGATTTTTGGACGATTTATCACACATGTACACTTTTTTAATGTACAACAGAATTCGATGGCATCTCTCGAGATCTTAGATCATTGCAGCACCGAAGGTTCCAGTTATGACAATTGATTGTTTTTGTGTGGATGGTTTATCAGATTGTACACTTATATCTTGGATTGTTTATGTGTGGATGTTTTTTTAGCCATTGAATGCTTATACAGAAAATCAAAGTTTTTGTAAGATGTAGTAGTGTTCAATCAACTACTATTCACGGAAACTATCCAAACAATATTTGTACAACAAAATTGCATCCATGTAAATGTGAACATATTTTGCCATGGATCTGCTTGAATTGAGGATCATTGGCAGATTGGAAGCCATGGAAGAACTTGAGAAAGCTTTTATCTAAGCTGCAGAAGATATGATAGACTTTACAAATTAATAAGAGATTAGAAGCCATGGGAGAACTCTAACGAAGCTTTCTTCTCACAAATTGGATCCACATGGATCTATCCATGATATATAAATCAATGTATATTGTTTGCTGGATTTTTAATTAAAATAACCCAGTAAATAAGTAATGCAAGATGAGTTAGTGGTGAACATTAAACATAGAAGAATTGGATAAACATGAACTTATTCGCGAGTGTATTGTCTAACCAATTGGATATACATGAACTTTAATCAGGTGGTGAGCATGAACCGAGAAAAATTATGAGATTTACATGGGAATTCGAATTTGCTACCTTCCACAATATATGTTTGGACGAATTTATTTGTACAATTAGATGTTTTTCACATAACCCAATCTAATTCTAATTCATGGAAAACTAAAAATTACAATGACATAGACACAAATGCATGGATACTAAAACAAATGTTTGGTGTGAGCAGATTACTCGCGCTTTTACAGTAAGAAACTCTCAATTCTATAAAAGCAGTATAGGCCAGTGATATTTCCACAAAACATCGTCCACGTTTCTTATTTTTTTTGGACAAGATATATTTGGACAAGAAGTCATGGATGAGTTTGGAGGAAACTGAAAGCTTCTCTAACCAAGAGTTCCTGATTTTGGAGAATTCTGGAATGTTAATGTGTGTATGGCTGACGAAAGTAATGGTGTGGGTTTAGAATAGATGTTTTATCAACTGTAAGGAAAACAATTGGTAGCAAATTCTGATTTGAATTCATCGTTTTCATCTGTTTCTGCATAATGGTAGTAGATTATGTAAATCTGACTTGAAACAGAGCACTAGAGAGAAGCAATCCCATAACTTATCTAAAAGCAAATTGGAGTAACGAAGAAAGAGATTTCTTATCTAAAAGGATGAGGCTAACTTCAAAGAGAAAACTCGACATAGCCAAACCGAGAACTAAAGTCACATACAAAACTCGACATAACTTTGATTGCAGAGACGATGGCGGCTCCAGTGAAATAAGGAAATAGAAACATATTTTTTTCTACACTGAGCAGATGTATTTCTCTATAGAACTTGACGGAATCGGAAGATTGAGACTTGACGGAAAAGCGCAGTAGGACTCGCCGGACTCGGAAAGGCGGCCGTGGAAGGGCCCTGGTTTCAATGGAGTGAATGTAAATAAAAAAGAGGTAAAAAGTTAAAAGGAATATTTGGTGAAAGTGCCAATGAAAAAAAACGAGGATAACATAGTCATTTCAACTTATGAAAGTGCACCACTTTCACAAAGTCCCTCAAAGTGTAAAGAAACTCAAAAAGTCCACCTGAGTGTAATTTTCTCGGATACAGAACGTGTCTTGGATAGGAAGTTAGCAGAACGATATTTGTTCACTGGAGGTTGAAAGAATTGTTATAATCATTGAATAAAGTACCAATTGCTTCTGAAATAGTTTGTTAAAGATCAATCAAGCTTCATATAAGTACACAACATCTTTTGAATTGTTACATGTTACTGTTTTAAGCAATCTATTGGGCAGCTTCATAGAACAGAACCTCTAACCACACTCTTCCCGTCACCAACATAGTATGGTATTCAAATCATATTACCTCTTTAAACCCACCGAGTGGTAACTGTTACATCAATTTAACACCTCTCTGTTGTCTATGCATCTTAAACTGTTAAGATGAGACATATCTGCACATTTACAAGGCAGTGAAATAAAAGTGTTAAAAGTGCGTAACACAAGATTAGCCAAATTTCAATTTCAAGTGCCATGGGACACAAATTTACATACAGAACAAAGCATCTACGTGTAACGTGCTACCGAAATCCCAGTTCATGATTTCATCACAAATCTTTGTAACTTTCAAGGTTTCTACAAAGATTAAGAAATAATTTAAAATTAAAATATCATTTTTTTATCAATTTCAATACAAAATCAATCAAACAGATAAAATAATATACACCATTCAAACAGTCGAAAACAATGAAAAATCAATTATTTTGCATAGATATTTGAAACTATCACTTAATTTGATAAAAAAAACTGTTATAGTTTAAAAAAAAAAAGTGAAACAGAGAGTATTACCCTCTCATGCATTAGAAAGAAAAAAGGTTGAACAATCTTTAATTATGAGGTAGAGAGACAAACAATATTCGGTTCTTATGGCGAAACTGATTGAGCTACTTGCAATCAAAACTCAAGATTCAAAGCAAGTAGCCCAACTCCTTAATCGATGTCTCAGTTTAAGAACCGAGTATTGTTTGCTGAAGTAACATTTTTGTTTGTTTCAGATTAAGTGACATTTTCAAATGTTTATGCAAAATTAAACAAGTTTTGTTAGTGAAACTTCAAAAACGTTTTAATCTGTATAATGTCCAGTAATCAAATAGGAAAATAAAGAAATAAGAAAGGAGAGATCGATAAAAGCACTTCATAAACGTTATGAATGATGGAAAATCAACTTTATCTAAAACCCTAATATTTGGAAAAAAAAAAAAATTAAATCCCTAAACCAAATTCTAGGGCTCGTTTCACCTGATTTTCACGCGGTAGCTCGTAACGGCACAATGGACAAACATGATTGGCGGAAAACCACTCGAGGATACAGCTATCATCAAACTCGTGTCCGCAAGGTAATTTCACGACTCTTTCTCTTGTTTTAAACTCATCCAAACAAATTGTGCAAATGTCGGAACTTGACGTCGATGTTGTCTTCTTGTATACTTTCCTTGACAAAGACTCAACAAAAACCTTACTTGCCGGTCTAAACTGCACATAGGTGGTGATCTCATCAAGTGACTCTGGCTCTTCTAGTGCCCGTCTAGATGCTTGTAGTAAGAGTCCGTATAGTCTGCGTCCGTGTCTAATAGCTTCTTCTGCTCTGCGTCTACGTTCTTCAATCGTAATAGGAGGTGTGGTCTTAAAGGTCATGTAAATTGACAAAGCCCAATCTGGAGAATAGTTAGCCGATTCAAAGATGACATTAGAGACATGTTGAGTGAGTAGAGGCCTCGCACGATCAACATGATCACGGTTGAGACGTTCTTCGTTCGCTAAGCAGTTCAGTTGTTCCCACCTATACGTCGCAATGTTATCAAGAAACACTTTGGCAGGCGGAGAAAACGAGCACTGTCGGGCGATTTATTGTAGGATCTAAGATTTCCGAAAATAGGATACTCACATGGACTTTGATTCTTCCTGCGTCTTCAGGTTTAGGATTGTGGTCGGTTTCATGGTCGAAAAATATTTTGTCGGTATATAATTCCATTATCAAGAATTCCTGATATTGTTTTGAATATGAAGTTAAGAACTTAAAGACTCAAAGATTGAATAAAGAAAACTCACTCAAAAACTTGAGCTCTCAATCTCTCTCTAAACTCATAAGTTGTGTCACAACTAGTCACTTCCTAATATAAGAAAAAACTTATCCTTATCCTAACTGGAAACACTTATATTTTAACAACTTCCTAAACATACTTTTCCTTTTCTCTTTTGATTAACCATAACTCGGTTAGTATTAGGAAACCTTCCATCTCAAGCTTTCTTCAAGCTTACTCGACATTCTCCCCCTTAAGCTTGAAGTCCTTTTCTGCTAATTTTCGTACTCCAATGAGTTCCCTCATTTTTTTGAACTTGATCTTTCCAAGTGCCTTTGTCAAGATATATGCCTTTTTCTCATTACCAGAAACGTGCTCTACTTCTATTTGTCCCTTTCAACGTATTACCCCCTCTTATGCCTTAGAAAGAAAATCAGGTTGAACAGTATTTAATTATGAGGTAGCGATACAAGCAACATTCGGTTCTTATAGCGAAACTGATTAAGCTACTTGCAATCCAAAGTCAAGTTTCAAAGCAAGTAGCCCAACTCCTTTGCATTGCACAAGTAACATCTTTTGTTTGTTTCAGATGAAGTGACATTTTCAAATGTCTATGCAAAATTAAACAAGTTTTCGTTAGTGAACTTCAAAAGCGTTTCTTAATTTGTATAATGTCCAGTAATCAAATAGGAAAATAAATAAATTTTATAATGCCCCGACCGACCCTCCCGGTGAGTCACCCACGCCCTCTCTCTGGACCCGCAGGCCCATCTCGGCCCGTGGGCCTCACCCCTGTCCGACGGCCGGTCCGTTATTTTCTCTAATGACTTGTTTACTATCCCTGCAATCAACACCCGACCTTTCCCCGTGTTTTGGCCTCACTCACACGGTTTCGGAAACCACTTCCCGGAAGGTCACCCATCCTTCAACTACTCCAGCCCAAGCACGCTTAACTCTGGAGTTACTTATAGACCTTTGACCGAAAAGGTAAGTGCACTTTGTTGACATAGGTAGCCAAATCAATTCTCTTAAGCCTCTCCTCATTTATCACAAACCGGGATGTTACAACTCACCCCCACTGTACGCAACGTCCTCGTTGCGCACCTGGATCGTCACCCCTGACGGTGTGAGTCAAGGCCACTTCAACTTGACTCCACACTCTCGTCTGGGTTTGGCTCTGATACCAAATTATAACGCCCCGACCGCCCCTCCCGGTGAGTCACCCACGCCCTCTCTCTGGACCCGCAGGCCCATCTCGGCCCGTGGGCCTCACCCCTGTCCGACGGCCGGTCCGTTATTTTTGAGAGGCTCTAATGACTTGTTTACTATCCCTGCAATCAACACCCGACCTTTCCCCGTGTTTTGGCCTCACTCACACGGTTTCGGAAACCACTTCCCGAAGGTCACCCATCCTTCAACTACTCCAGCCCAAGCACGCTTAACTCTGGAGTTACTTATAGACCTTTGACCGAAAAGGTAAGTGCACTTTGTTGACATAGGTAGCCAAATCAATTCTCTTAAGCCTCTCCTCTTTTATCACTTACAAATTTTGCACAAAAAAAAAATTAAAAAAAAATAAATAAGAGAGAGAGAGAGAGAGAGAGAGAGAGAGAGAGAGAGAGAGAGAGAGAGAGAGAGAGAGAGAGAGAGAGAGAGAAGCACTCCATCAACGTTATGAATAATGGAAAATCAACTTTATCTAAAACCCTAATTTTTATAAGAACTTAAATCCCTGAATCAAATTCTAAGGCTCGTTTCACCTGCTTTTCACGTGGTAGCTTGTAACGGCACAATGGACAAACATGATTGGCGGAAAACCACTCGAGGATACAGCTATCATCAAACTCGTGTCCACAAGGTAATGTCAGGACACTTTCTCCTGTATTAAATTCGCTCAAACAAATTGTGCACATGTCGGAACTTGACGTCGACGTTGTCTTCTTGTATACTTTCCTTGGCAAGGACTCAACCACAACCTTACTTGCCGGTCTAAACTGGACATCGGTGGTGATCTCATCATGTGAGAATATCTCGTCTAATATTGCGTCTATCTCTTCAGCTATTAAGTCTTCCTCTTCTAGTGCGCGTCTAGATGCTTGCGCTACTCTGCGTCTACGTTCTTCAATCGTAATAGGAGGTGTTGTCTTAAAGGTCATGTACATTGATAAAGCACAATCCGGAGAATAGTTAACCGAGTAAAAGATGACATTACAGACATGTCGAGTGAGTAGCGACCTCGCACGATCAACATGATCATCGTTGAGACGTTCTTCGTTCGCTAAGCAATTCAGTTGCTCCCACCTATACGTCGCAATGTTATTAAGAAATTCTAGGGCATGCACGGAGAAAACGAGTACTCTCGGGCGATTTATTCTAGGATCTGAGAATTCCGACAATAAGATACTCGCATGGACTTTGATTCTTCATGCGTCTTCAAGTTTAGGATTGAGAGACACTTTGTCGGTAAATACTTCCATTATCAAGAATTCCTGATGTGTTTTTAGGTTTTTCTTTTTCTTTTTCTCCCTTTGTGCACTTTTGTCTCCTGTTTTATATGCATTATTTGTAGAGGCGGTGGACTCTTGTAGGGCTCGGATCTAGGTCAGAATGGGTTTTGACTTTTTTTTTTTAACATGATAAATTTAAATTAAAAAATATTTTTTTTTTTAAATTTCAAGATATTAATATTTCCATAAATAATTATTGCTCTGCAGAGTACTCAGAGCACTTACCAATCACGCTCAATAATATTTTGTAGCAATGTTATTGGGCTAATTATGGTCCATTTATAGGTCGTGTTATCCCTAAATTTCCTAGAACATTTTCCTTGACTATATATGACTCGAAAAAAAGACCTAAGTAAGAGACATTTCTTCTTCACGCCTCTCTCCATCATAGAACGAACAAGGTACAATCCAATCTCACTACCACTAGTCCCAGTTTTCTTTCACCAACAGAGACATTTCTCTTAATCTTTTTCAACCTAAGAATCTTCCGACAAACAGTTTACTTGCCATTGTCAGAAGGGAAGTACCAAACCATAAAAGAACACAGACTTGTTACTCCTCCCCAAAAAGTCGGAGGCCACTTCTTCCCTTCCCTGGAAGAAGTAATAACCGATCAAGAGATTAAGTTTATGTTGGAACTGTCAGGGATGGATCTAGAGAGTTGGATTGGGGAATGCGTAGTCGATGTGCTCTCTCCCCAAGTTGCCGAGTGTTTGAGGATCGATTGTCCTCATCAAAGTCACATGATCAAAGGTGATATTGATGTAATATTCGAAACCAGAAAAAGTTGGAGGCAACATCTTCCCTCCCTCGAAGAAGTAATAGCCAATAATATTTGTGACATTTACAATATTATACGGGTTTTGAATATTATGTCAATATCACCTTCGATCATGTAACTTTGAGGAGGAACATCGATCTTCAAACATTCGGCAACTCAGGGAGAGATCAAAGCGACTAAACATTCCCTAACCCAACTCTCTAACTCCATCCCCGAAAATTTCAACATAAACTCAATCTCTTGATCGGTTAATACTTCTCCGGGGTGAAGAAGTTGCCTCCGACTTTATCTGAAGGAGTAACAAGTGCGTTTTTTCTATGGTTTGGTACTTCGTTCCGACAGTGCCAAGTAAATTGTATGTCGGAAGATTCTTAGGTTAACAGAGACTAATAGAAATGGCTCTCTTGGTGGAAAAAAAACTAGGACTAGTAGTGGTAGTGAGATTGGATTGTAGCGTTGTTAGTTCCATGATATAGAAAGGCTTTAAGAAGAAATGTTTCTGACTTATGTCTTTGCTTCAAGTTATATATAGTCAAGCAAAATATTATAGGGAATTTAGTGATAACACAACATTTATTCCTATAAATGGGGCCATAAGCCCATAACATGCTACAACCTATAAATTTCTCCACGTACACGACCTATAAATGGGCCATAATTTGGCTACAAATTTCATGCACTTATATTTTTAGTCAAAGACTCACAAAGAATTTGATAGTTAAGTGTATTTGAGCTGGAGTTGTAGAAGGATGGGTGACTTTCCGGAAAGTGATTTGCAGAATGGTGTAAGTGAGGACAAAATACCAGGAAAGATCGGGTGATAATTGCAAGAACAGGGACCGTAAACAAATCTCTAGAGCTTCCTAAAATAACGAACCGATCATCGAACAAGCAGCCCATGGACCGAGAGAGGGTGTAAGAGCAAATGCATTGGACAGTTGTAGAGGGGTTCTTCCCAAATAAAAAAATATAATTTGTGACATGGCTCGCTGAGGTGGTGAACTCATGGGAAGAACGTCTTTGTGAGAAGAGGTTATGCAATCGTTTTTGAAGGTTACATGTAACTATATGATTTCACTTTTTTTTTCGAAAATCATTTGTTTATTATTATAAAAAAAAACCTTGTGTGAGGTTTACCAATGCATATGCTCTTACCACAGGAATTCTTTAATTAAAAAATAAATATTTAATGACATGTCACAATTAAAGAGAGAAGATGTGTCTTCGGAAGGCAGTTTTGGAAGCGCCTCTCTGACACAAGTTCACCAAGTGTCACAACCCGATTGGGTTTTGATATATATATATTTTTTAAAATCGTTTTTTTCTCGAAAATCAATTTTTCTTTTCATTCATAAAATAAAATAAAAAATTAAAGAGTCTTATATGCATATCTCTAATGCAGCTGCTCTAAGTGCGACCCACTGGTATGGGCAGTATTCATATATTTGTTTTATGGTATTATGAAGACGTAACATAATGCAATCTGTTTCCGTAGGCAAATGTGTTAGACTGTTAAAATCATCAACCCTATCATATTTCACTTAGGGGTGAAAAAAATACTTTAATGTTTTTATTATGTTTTATGTTTTTAATGCAAGTAAGTTTAGTAATTTAATATCATTTATTAAAAAGATTTACGAAACTGTCTCTTTGTGAAATTTACAGACTCTACAAATTGTAGGATTTAACGACATATAATTTTTTAAATGTAATATAAATTTGTTATCGAAACTGTGTTAAGAAATTGTTCATAGGGCAACTTTTCTTTCGAGAGATTTAATATGATATGTTATTTACATGATGTTAGTTTTGATTTTAGAAAAAGTCTCAATATAAATATAATTTTTTTTAATCTATGAGTCTTTGGTACTAATTAATATTACGAGGTAGCATCTAAAAATAGTTAACTTTCAAATTAGCATTTTCCGCTAATTAGCCTCAAAAACCTCGATTGGATAACTAATAATTTCCAAGAAGACGATTTCCTAGCACAAATCTTTCTAAAACATATGCGATCCCAAAAGATCCAAATGAGTTAGGAAATTATTCACTAGACCCATACTGATAACTGATAACTGATAATTTATAAACTAAAAAGTAAAATTAATGAACAACGAAAGGTACCTTTTCGTCTCAGACGAGTTCGCCAATTGTGTCGTAGCGAAGAGCTCGATCTTTTCTCTTTTTCATCGACCTTGTATGATGCATCAAAGCTTTCATCGTATAACCCACCAGGTAGGAGTGGTTTGAGTGGTGACGGTGGTAGATTAAACCCCTCATGCAGGAAAGATGATCAAGAAAGAAATTAAGGACAATTAAAAAGAAAATGAAAAGTTTAGTAAATCAAAATACATAAATTCAGTTTATGAACGATCTAATATAAACTCAAAATTACCCTAAACAAAGAAATCAACGACCTAGTATCTCAAGTTAGCCAAATGAAGTTACATAAAAAATGGATATAAAAAGTATATACTTTCCTCAATATTTAAAGATCAAATAAACTATAAATCAAACAAAAACTAAGAAAATTTAGAAGAACAAGATATATAATCAGAGAACAAGATTTAAAAACCGACATGAAATTGAATGAATCAAAATGTGAAAATTGATTTATATGAAACATACCTATAGTAAATGCCTAACCGAATTTGAGATCTCTTTTTGGTGGAACAAAAAGCTCTCAAGAATTTTCAGGATCTAGTAAGCGCTTCAAAAAAATTATGCGGCTGTTCTACAGAAGACAATGATTGAAGCTTTTATATATATAGTAGCCTGTTTAACCTAGATAGCAAACGACGTCGTCTGGAATATTGAAATTATAAACTCATAAAATTATGGAATATAGAATCAATTTAATCTAGATAGGGAACGACGTCGTATGGAATATTGAAATTATAGATCTTTTAAAATATAGTGTCCTACTGTCTCCTACTTCTCAATATAAATAAAACATCAATTTATACATTAAAAAAAACAAAGGTAATTACAAGAATTTATATCCTCTTTTGATTTTTCAAACTAGGTGTTCTCATCATAACTACAATTGTGAATGAAAGTTTGAGATAACAAACTCAATAACTTTATAATATATATAATGAGAAATAATTTGGCTGTGAATAGTGATCAAGCTGGTACGAGATTTGCAAATGATTGTATTTGATTGTGAACTAACTGACCTCGGTTATTTTTGACAAAATTTACTCGGTGAAATCACATAGAGGATGATCCAAAGGCATCAGGAGACTTGTATAATTTTGTTATACTTTCCCGACATAAATAGTGACGAAAACATGGTCAGACACCAAATACTATCTTGTGTCAATGGTAAGTATCTAATTTGTTCAAGTTGAAGATTATGTTACCACAAACAACTCTAATGTTTAGTATTGAGGTTTGTTTGCATGGAGACCAATACAGCTGTGTAGCTCTAGAAAACAGAACATGGGTTAGATATTTTGGTAATGAGGAAGAGGTAAGGCTTTAGACCTTTCTTGTAATACAACTCAATCTGTGACTGAACAGTGAACATGTCACTGTTACTTCATAGAACATAATCTATCGTATACAAATCATATTACCTCTTTAAACGCACCAAATGGTAACTGTTACATCAATTTAACACCGCTCTGTTGTCTATGCATCTTAAACTGTTAAGATGAGATATAAATGCACATTTACATAATCATAAAAGAAAAACCACTACGCAAAAAGAGTTCGCACAAGCTCTACACTACTCCGGGAACCAAACACAAGAACAAGAGAGATTCTACAAACCTCTACAACGTAGCAAGCAAGCAAGACACATCATGAGAAGACAGATCTCGTGGGACGAGAAGGGGAAAGGGAAGATGGTGGACCAAGCACCACCGAGGATCCGAGTGAAAGCGCCAAATCTGGATACAACAACCCTAGTCAAGAAGCACGAGCTCACGCTCATCGGCAGAGTGACAAATCCCCAAGAACAACAGATGAGAAAAATGTTTCCTTACTTGATAAGGAAATGGAAACTGAAGGGGAACGCAGTGGGGTCAGATATGGGACGCGACTGCTTCCAGTTCTAGTTCGAGCTAAAAGAAGACCTGGAGAAAGTGCTGGCTAACCGACTGTACCACTACGAGCACTGGATGCTTATCCTACAGAGATGGGAACCAATCATATCACCGACGTTTCCAGCCTATATACCCTTCTGGATAGAGCTACAAGGGATACCGCTACACTATTGGCAAAAAGATCTATACAGTATAGGCGAAGAACTAGGAGGAATGATGAAGTACGAAATTACCTCCACAACAGCAAGAATCAAAGTTCTCATCAACGGATTCCAGCCACTGGTGAAAGAGACTATCATTGAATATTTGGATGGAGCGGAATCCATTGTCTCTCTGGAATATGAATGCCTCGAAATCCACTGTAGGTTTTGCTACAGGCTGACTCACGACACCTACAAATGCCAAGAATCAAGAGGAGAGGGTTAATCTACAGAACCAGCGGGAAGAAGGGAACGGTCACTGCACATTCATCAAGAAGCACAACCCAAAGGAGGAGATTTTAACAAAAGAGTAGATAGGTATGGCAAACCTTTTGGAGACCAGGCCTCACAGAAAGAAAGAAATGCAGAGGAGGACAGCTACCGGAGACACCAAACCAGTCGCTGGACTGAATCTCCGGGATACCACAGAGAAAGATCCCCGCCTCGGACAAGCCAACGCAACTACCAACCTACTGATCTACGACAAACCCTACAAAGCAGAGGAGAGGAACGACGCAGACATCAACCAACACAACAAATATGGAGGGAAAAAGAAAGAGATGCAAGAAGAACACCACCAAGGAGAGAAGAGTCAGCGACGTCAAGACCTAGCCAGAACCCACTGGGGAGAACACTGGACTTCGCGGGGACCCCAAGCACCCACACGATACCAACCCTGGAGGAGGCTATGGCAGACCTTCAGGAGGTCACGGTCCGATACGTAAACTGCGGGGATCCAATAGAAAGTGAAGCACGTAGGCAGCGTGTGCTTCAAGGAGAAATGGAGGGACTAATGGCCACTACAGCAGCAAACATGGTGGCAGCGGCAGCAGCGTCAGCTCAAATATATCAAGAACAAACTCAAGAGCAACAAACACAAATCCATATTCAAGGGGAGACACATAATGGGCAACTATATCAGGAGGAGGAGAGACTATATGTGCCTAAACGAGGACGACCACCACTCGTTAGGAAAACCGTGGGAAAGAGCCCGATGAGATTGACGGGAACGAGCTTAGTGTCAAGGAAAATGAACTTGGTACAGAAATCACCGAGGCGACTGAAGGCACAAGCATTACAAACTGCTAACACATGAGCATCTACGAGCAGGACGACAACCCAAAGGCACAGAACGACCACTACTACTCCGACCGGTAATGCATCAAGACCGCCACTAGCTCCATCACCTAATCCCAATACCACTACCAGATCGGTGGATTTTCAAAATCCACCAGATCCTCTTCCTTAAAAGTGGCAGCGTGGAACTGTTGTGGTCTGGGAACCCAAAAAAAGTTCGAAGACTCAGAGAGATTCGTACTAGTATCTCTCCTGATATTTTCTTCCTCACTGAGACAAAAAACACAGATGAAATTGTTCTCAGTAAATTCCAATAGATGGGATATGCGGCACATGTTCTGGTCTCACCTCAGGGACACGGAGGAGGGGGTTTGGCTCTCTTCTGGAATCAAGACATCGAGATCGAGATCCTACACACCTGCAAGAACTTCATAGATACAAAGGTTAGTGCAGAAGGCAAATATTTCTATATTACATTTGTGTATGGAGAACCGGACACTACTCAAAGACAGCGAGTTTGGGACGAGATAAGAGAACAAGTGGGAAGCAGAGCTGAACCTTGGTTATTGACGGGAGACTTCAATGATATCATAGATGCCTCAGAGAAAAGAGGAGGGCCACCACGACCTGAAGGATCTTTTGTCGAGTTCAGAACCTTCATGTCAGAATGCGACCTGTATGATTTGAGATACTCAGGTAACTTCCTATCCTGGAGGGGACAGAGAAATGAACATTTGGTCAGATGCAGACTAGATAGATCCATGTCAAACAGTGCATGGGCAGAAGAATACCCAACTGGAAGAAGTGAATACCTCCAGTTCGAAGGATCAGACCACCGACCAATCATCACAATCTTTGACCCCCTTGAAGAAGAAAAAGGGTATGTTCCGATACGATAGACGGCTGCGATCAAACGAAGAAATACAGAACCTGGTATTCACTACCTGGAATGCAAGGGTCTCAGACACAGTGGAGAAAAAGATCAGTCGATGCAGGAGTGCAATCATAAAATGGAATAAGGAAAAGCATCAAAGTAGTCGGAAACTGATAGAGGAGTACCGCACTAAACTGGAAGAGGCAATGGTAAGTCCTCTCCACAATCAGGCGCTGATAACAAGCATCAACAACGAACTGCAGACAGCGTACAAAGCAGAAGAGAGCTTCTGGAAACAAAGGAGTCGACAGTTGTGGCTTGCACTGGGAGATAAGAACACGGAATATTTCCATGCAGCAACAAAGGGGAGAAAAGCCGTCAATAAATTCTCAGTTATTGTAGATGAAGGGAACAACACAGTGTATGAAGAGGAAAAAATCACTGCAGTAATAACGAAGTTCTACCAAGAATTGTTTACCTCTCAGGAGGGAGAGTGCCATGAAACAGTGAGAGAAGCGCTAGAACCATGCATTACGGAGGAGATGAACGCCAGATTGATAGCAACCCCAACACCAGGAGAAATACGAATGGCATGCTTCTCCATTCACCCAGGGAAAGCCCCAGGACCGGACGGATTCTCAGCCTGCTTCTTCCAGTCAAACTGGAACACGGTGAAAGAGAAAGTTATCTGAGATCCAAGACTTCTTCGCTTCCGGAAACCTGCCAGGGAACATAAATGCAACACATGTGAGGCTTATCCGAAGATAAAAAGCCCAAAGAAAGTTGCAGACTACAGACCGATAGCGTCTGTAATGTATACTTCAAAATTATCTCGAAGATTCTTACCTTGAGGCTGCAACCTGTTCTCAATGAGATTGTCACAGAGAACCAGTCGGCTTTTGTCCTCAGAGAGCCATTCCGACAACGTACTCATCACCCACGAGACGCTCCACTACCTTAAAAACATCAAAGGCACAAGTCAGATGCTACATGGCAGTGAAAACGGACATGAGTAAAGCCTATGACAGAATAGAGTGGAATTTTGTAAAGGAGGTAATGGAAAGACTGGGTTTCACAGTAAGTGGATACACTGGATTATGCAATGCTTAAGCACAGTCACTTATTCTTACCTGATAAATGGAGCTGCCCAAGGTCACGTAACTCCGAGCAGAGGCTTGCGGCAAGGAGACCCGCTCTCACCGTACATCTTCATCCTATGTAGCGAGGTGCTCTCGGGCTTATGTATCCGTGCCGAGAAGGAAGGGAAGCTATCAGGGATAAAGTTGCAAAACGTAGCCCGCGAGTCAATCATCTCCTTTTGCGGATGACACGATGTTCTTCTGTCGATCAGATCCTCGGAGTTGTCAAGAGCTCATGAAAATCATACAGAAGTATGAGACAGCCTCGGGACAGAAAATAAACAAGGAAAAGTCAGCAATCACCTTCTCCTCCAAAACAAACAATGAAACAAGAACAAGTGTCAAGCTAGCACTGGGAATTCAGAAGGAAGGAGGTTGGGGAAGTATCTCGGCTTACCCGAACACTTTGGCAGGAAGAAGAAGGATCTGTTTAGTATGATCGTAGATAGAATCAGGCAAAAAGCGCATAGCTGGTCTTCAAGCTACTGTCTCAGGCAGGACGGTTGACAATGTTAAAATCTGTACTTGCAGCCATGCCCACTTACACGATGACCTGCTTCAAGCTCCCAGCTTCCTTGTATAAGCGTATTCAGTCAGCTTTAACGCGCTTCTGGTGGGACGGAAACCAAGAAAACAAGAAGATGAGCTGGATATCATGGAAGAAAATGATAAAGTCAAAACGAGATGGCGGTCTGGGTTTCAGGGACTTACAACACTTCAACGATGCTCTTCTAGCAAAAGTAAGCTGGAGAATCCTCAGTACACCTTCGTGCTTACTTGCACGAATCCTCCTGAACAAGTACTGCCATGACAAAAGCTTCCTGGAGTGTGGAACACCATCGACAGCCTCCCACGGTTGGAGAGGAATTTGTATAGGAAGAGATCTTCTGAAACCGCATCTCGGGAAGATCATTGGAGATGGGAAATCGACAAATATCTGGACTGAACCGTGGCTATCACTTGATGAGCAATGTAGACCGATGGGACCGGCTCCCCAACATACAAAGGACCTTCCAGGTAGCGGACCTCATCTCACCTACAACAGGAACATGGGATCAGGAGAAAATAAAGGCCATTGTACCACACCATGAGAAACAGATTCTAGAGATAAGACCAAGCAAACTAGGCGGCAAAGACAAGCTAGTCTGGCTACATACCGAAGAAGGAATCTATACAACAAAGTCTGGCTACTATGAACGGATTAAGCAAGAGAGGAGAAGAGCTTAGAGGAAACAATCTAGAACTGGAGGGAGAACAAGCACGACAACTCAATGGCTTCAAGTGGAATGAAGAAATTTGGAAAATACACACAGGGGAAAAACCAAAAATCTTTATGTGGAAAGCAATGAGAGGAGCCATACCCGTGGGAGAGAACCTAAGGCTGAGAAACGTGAATGCCCTGGTCAGATGCCCACACTGTGGCGAGAGGAAACGACGCTCCATCTACTTTTCCACTGTGCCTTCGCACAGGAAGTCTGGAGACTTGTGCCTTGCGCCCAAACCTTGGACGTTCCAGGTTTCCAGACCCTGAGAAAGGGAGTGGAGGAGACGAGGAAGCTCATATGTTTACCACCCACAGGCGTGGGATCGGGACCAATATCAGCTTGGGTTCTATGGGCTCTCTGGAAAAGCAGGAACCAAAAGATCTTCAACGGGAAGAACGCCAATTCACACCGGAGGAAACCACTACGCAGGCGATTTCCAATGCCAGAGAATGGCAATCGGCGCAATTGGGAATCGAGAACAAGCACAGTTTCTTAACAAGTCCCTGCTAAGAAACTTTTTTCCTGAGTTACAGTCAGAGAGGTTATTATTTTCCCGGCCGCTCCGTTATACCTTCTCACTACTTCAAGAGTGTTCATAGACCGCACAACAATTTGTCCTTGGTCACCGGCACTGACCAAGAACTCTCCACACTTACTAAGCTCAAGAAAGTTGATGCGTCCGTTCGACTCTGAGCTGGCTAGATGTTTTCCGTTGATGGAGTAGAGGTGCAAGCTAAGATCATCATCACCGTACAGAACAATCCGTCCATGGTGCGATGCAGCTAGCTTCGACACTCCACTGCCCCAAGGATGTTTTAAAGACCTTAGGTATCTTCCTTCCCGCAACGTGTGGAATACGCAGGTTCCATCTTTTGATCCACTGATGACTATGTCAAGGTTATTATTCTTGGATATTGTTGATTCAAAAAAAAAAAAAAAAAACTTAAATACCACAAAGAAGTAGAATGATCTTTATTTTTTCAATTTTCGAAGAACAATAGGTTTTGATGAGCTAAATCAAAGTTATAAAAACACCTATCAATAGTAAACACGGTTTCGATCTCGATGATCTAGAGTAAAATAGATTTGATCGATATTTTTTGAAATATTTGAATTCATAAATTATATATTATTTTCGTTTATGATAAAAGATAGAAAGACACAGTCACATTTGTATTTGATTTTTCATTTGTTATGAAGATCATATATTTTTGGTAAAATTAGACAAAACATTCTTTTAATTTCCAAGTTTAAAAGTTTTCCGTGGATGGCAAAAAAGTTGCAATTTGTACAAATTTTCTTTTTCAGTTTCTGACTCTGGCACCAACTAAATTTTTGTTTTAAACAAAATATCTTATGTCGCTACATTTAAATATATTTCTAATGCAATTTTTATTATTAAACAAATAAAAATATTCAAAAATAACTTGAGGTGCCAGATTATGATAGTGTAACAAAAATAATGATAATATTTTAGTCAAATTAGAATAAATTGCATTCCTTATATTGATGAAATAGGAAGATATTGGGATGTCCCAATACTAGTAAAATCAAAAGTCAAACATAAAATATAATAAATTTAGTTTGAAACTACTATTTACTAACTCAAAATTTTCAATGTTCAGTATGAAGTAACTTGGTATAAATACACCCCAAAATTCATTTTGCAAATAACAATTGGTGCCAAATAGTAGTCGTTTTTTTGTCCAATTCTATTTTCTGACATTTGAGAAAACAGAAAATAAAGTGTTGTCTGCAAAATGAAATTTGATGTGTATTTATACCAAAGTATTACATACAGAAAATTTAATATTTTGAGTCGTCAAATAGTTGTTTCAAGCTATGTTTATTATAATTTTTGTTCGACTTTCAATTTTACTAATTTTGGGACATTATAATTCAATAACTTCATATTCCAGTAAATATAAAGTATGCAATTCATTTTAGTTTGACTATAATATTATCATATTATATGCTACATTGTATCATAAATACACAACAAATAGCCATTTGTACAAATATGTTTTTTTTTTTTTTGGGCTCCAACCTATTGATAACGTCCTCATAGCTCATATTGGATTGATTTTTTGGGGAATGTGAATTAGAATTGCTAGGATATATGAATGATGTGAATAAATTAATGAATGATGAAATGATTAATGAAGCATGTTCAGTAGCTACATTAGTAATGAAGTCAGCGATTTCTCCGACTAATCGCCTAAAAGATCGGACTCATGGTGGAAATGTGGCGATTTTCTAAAATCCGACTAATAAGAAAAATCACTTAAAATTTAAAAAATGAGATGGGCCAAATGTTTTGTTTCTGAATTTTCTTTGGACAAATTGCAAATTTTCAAAAATTGGGGCCAACTAAGGAAAGTCCATTCTCTTTTTTTTGTGAAAAAAAAATGCCCATTCTATTTAATTTTGTTAGCTAAAACAAGACTATAATTGATAATAATTACATGAGAAAAAATGAATTTTGTGGATTTATAAACCCAAACAAGAAATTTTGTTACTAACTGTAAGAGTTTTGTCCTCCAAAACTTGAAATTATGTGTTATGTTTTATATTAAAATGTTTAATAAATTTTTTTAAAAATGTAATAAAATTCTTCCCCGACTAATCTCCGTTTTATTTCCGGGTTTTGAAAATTCGGAAATCCTGAACCCACCACCCGAATAACGCCTAGCGATTTTTTGGACTAATGACGTATAGGTTGATTTATTGTAGTATCCCGTTTGTGGTATATGTGGAGAGGTTTAAGAGAATTAATTAAGCTACTTAGGTCATTAAAGTGCATTTATTATTTCCAGTCAAAGAACCATAAAGAACTATAAAGTTAAGTGTGCATGGGATGGAGTAGTGGAATAATGGGTAACTTTCCAGAAAGTAATTTGTGAAACAGTGTAAGTGAGGACAAAACACCAGGAAAGATCGGGTTGTAAATTTAGGGATAGTAAAAAAGGTTTCTAGAATCTCCCACAAATAACAAACCAGCCGTTATAGAGGTGGGACTCACAGGCCGAGAAAGGGTTATATTGGGGCATTATAATTTGGTATCAGAGCCGAATGAAGACGAGAGTGTGGAGTCAAGTAGGCTCACACCATCAGGGTTGACGACCCCTGTGCGCAACAAAGACGTTGTGCTCATGGGGTGAATTGTAGTATCTCGGTTTGTGGTATATGTAGAGAGGTTTAAGAGAACTAATATCTATATTATCAAAGTGCACTAATTTTTTCGGTCAAAAGCCTAGAAAGAACTTCGAAATTAAATGTATATATGTTGGAGTAGTGGAATGATAAGTAACCTTTCGGAGAGTGATTTGCAAAACGGTGTAAATGAGGACAAAATACCAGGGAAAAACGAGTTGTGATTGTAGGAACATTTAACAAATCTCTAAAGTCTCTAAAAAATAACAAATCTCTAAAGTCTCTAAATATAACAAATCAGTCGTTAGATAGAGGTGGAACCCACAGACCCAGAGAGAGCATATGTGACCTACTGATATGGGCAGTATTCTTATATTTGTTTCAGTGTATTATGAAGACATAATATGATGCAATCTGTTTGCATAGGCAAAGGTGTTAGACTGTTAGAATCAACCCTATCATATTTCTCTTAGGGGTGAAAAAATTTACTTAAATGTTTTTATTATGTTTTATGTTTATAATGCAAGTAAGTTAAGTAATTTAATCTTATTTATTAAAAAGATTTATATGCAAGTAAGTTTAGTAATTTAATCTCATTTATTAGAAAGATTTATGAAACTGTCTCGTTGTTAAATTTACAGTCTCTACAAATTGTATTGAATTAATTACATATATATATATATATTTATATTTTAAAATGTAATAAAAATTTATCGAAACTGTGTTAAGAAATTGTTCATAGGGTCGATCGTCTTTCGAGAGATTTAATATAATATGTTATTTACATGATGTTAGTTTTAATTTTTAAAATCTCAATATAAATAAAAAATATGAAACTGATTGAACTAAAGGTGTTTTTTTTTAATCTGGGAGTCTTTGGTACTAATTAATATTGCGAGGTAGCATATAAAATGACTCTTATGAAAACAAACATGTGAAAATAATTCTTATACCCGAAAAATAGTTCTTTGTTCATATTTTTCAATATGAAGTTATTTGAGTATATTAATTATATTTTCCCAAAGTAAACTTAATGAACAACGGAAAATACCTTCTCGTCTCAAGCGAGTTCCCCAATTGTGTCATAGCGAAGAGCTCGATCTTTTCTCTTTTTCATCCACCTTGTATGATGCATCAAAGCTTTCATCGTATAACCCACCAGGTAGGAGTGGTTTGAGTGGTGACGATGGTAGATTAACCCCTCATACAGGAAAGATGATCAAAAAGAAATTAAGGACAATCAAAAGTTTAGTAAATCAAAATACATAAATTCAGTTAATCAACGATCTGATATAAATTCAAAATTAGCCTAAACAAATAAAATCAACGACCAAACACAATACAAATGAAGTCAAATACAAAATGGATATAAAAAGTAAATACTTTCCTCAATATTTAAAGATCAAATAAACTATAAATCAAACAAAGACTAAGAAAATTTAGAAGAACAAGATATATAATCAGAGAACAATATATAAAAACCGACATGAAATTGAATGATAATCAAAATGTGAAAATTTATTTATATGAAAACATACCTATAGTAAATGCCTAACCGAATTTGAGATCTCTTTTCGGTGGAATAAAAAGCTCTCAAGAATTTTCAGGATCTAGTAGGTGCTTCAAAAAAATTATGCGGCTGGTAGAACATAAGACAATGACGTCGTATGAAAGTTTCATCTATATAGTGAACGACGTCGTATGGAATATTGAAATTAGAGATGCTTTAAAATATGGTGTTTAACAGTCTCCTACTTTCTCAATATAAACAAAATATCAATTAATACAAAAAAAGGTATTTACAATAATTTATATCCTCTTTTGATTTTGAAAACTAGGTGTTCTCATCATAACTACAATTTGGAATGAAAGTTTGAGATAAAAAAACTCAATGACTTTATTTTTATTTATATAGTGAGAAATAATTTGGCTCTGAATAGTGATCAAGCTGGTATGAGATTTGCAAACGCTGGTATTTTTTTATTTTTGAATTACTAAGAGGTTCTGGCTCAAGCCCATATATCCCCATAGGCCCGGAACCACAACATGTAATATTGGTTCCGTCCCAAATGGCACTCGATCATGTGCCTCTAAGCTTTGCCTAGGGTCCTTTGGAAACCCTGGTATTTGATTGTGAGCTAACCGATCTCGGTTATGTTGGACTAAAGTTACTCAGTGGAATCACATAGAGGAAGATCCAATGGCATCAGGAAGCTTGTATGATTTTGTTGTATTTTCCCGCCATAAATAGTGACGAAAAAATGGTAAGAGCTATGATAAGCTTTAATTGGTTATTAGAGATGAAGCAACATAATGGTTTTTGAGCGTTTGTGCTGGTGTTGTTTAGCTCTTGAATG